AGGACACAAACCTCTGTGTATGTACATGAGTGGGAAGAGTCACCTTAAAGTAGGTGGCACAAGGGAAAAGGGAACATTTATCTCTTCTACTCCTGACTATGGATATTGTGTGGCCCACAGTCAGTTTATGTTCCAGCCGTGGTGGACTGTACCTCAAACTGAGCCAAATACACTCTTCCTTCCTGAAGCTGATTCGCCACATATCTTGTTACAGCAAAGAGAAAAGTAATGGACACAACCAGCCTTTGTTCCCAAGTAAAGATGACGTGGACCATACATCTCATTCAATCCATGACATGGACCATGGTCTCATTCAATCCTTGATGGATACATGACACTTGCAAGAGGTATGGACACTTGAGAACCATTGGAATTTGGATGCACAATCTTGCTTCTGCTAATGGATGCAAAAGCAACAACTAGAACTCAGCATCCAGATCTGAGTCACTGGGGTTTAGTCTATTCTTTGTATATCAGTTATATCTTGCTATGTAACAAATTGCCCCACAAATTAGTATTCCCCAAGCAACATGTGCTCATTACCTCACAGTCTGAGTGGGTCTGGAATGTGAGCAGGACTTAGCTGAGCCCTCTACCCTCTACAAGGGTTCCATCAAGATGTTGGCCACAGCTGGGGTCTTATCTGAAGTCTCAGGTGGGGAAAGATTCACTCACATGATGTTGGGACATTGTACTCCTTTAAGGAGGATGGGTTAGCTTCACAGTGGTGGCGCACACCTTTAATCCCAGCACTCAGGAGGCTGAGGCAGGCAGATCTCTGTGAGTTCTCTTTTGAGATAGGGTCCCATTATGTAGCCCTGTCTGGCCTGGAAAACGTACTGTAGATCAGGCTGGCTGCAAAGTCATGGAGAACTGTCTACCTCTGCCTCTTGAGAGCTGGGATGTAAGGAATGGACCACCAAGCCCGACTGGTCTCTCTCTTTAAGAAGAAACTGTGTGGTAGTGGTGATAGTGTGTGTGTGTGTGTGTGTGTGTGTGTGTGTGTGTGTACACATGTGTGCAAGGACACATATAGAGGCCCTCAGGGATCCTCCTCTATTATTCTCCACTTATTTCCTTGGAGCTTTCACTAGGTGAGAATCCAACAACTCCCAGCAATCCTCTGCCCCTCTGAGCTGCAGTTATAGGTGTTTCCAGGGATACCCATCTTGTTACATGGGTGTCAAGACCTAAACTCCAGTACCCATTGTTGTGGACTAAGTACCTTAACCACTGAGCCATATCTATAGCCTTTCTGTCTCTTTCCCCAACCCTGAACCAATTCCTCTCCTTGTCACTGTCCATGGCTTCCCATATCTTCAGACACCCTCTCTCCAAGCAAGATGGTCCTGTTATTAATTAGCTCTTGATAAATAGCCAAGAGGCTACAGTGGCATACAGAAATGTCCACGTGTATCTTATCCACCTCTCTGCAGCTTTGGGCCTCAGCAGGAACACTGCAGCTTACCCAGGGTAGCTATGCTCCAAGCAGCTTCCATTTTTCTGGAGTACCAGTTGGGTACCAGAATGCTATATTACTCATGGAAATGGCAAAAGTGTGACAGGAGCTATCTGCTGCCCAAAGGCTTGCCAGTTTTCTCAAGTGCCTTGTTGCTAACTGCTCATTGGCTGATGTAAATCACATGGCCCAGCTGGAGTTCAAGCTTTAAATCATATGTGGGTGAATGCACCCTGCTCACCTAAGGCAGCTAGAGTGGTCATGTGTCCTATGTCATCAAAGTGTGGGGAGTGAGAATTCTCTAGGACACACCTTTATTTACCCTTCACACCATGCTGGGGTCTCAGGTTCATTACTGAAATACCAGGAGCAAGAGTACAGCATATGTAAGGCAGGCTTCTGCTTCCCCCTGAAGAGAACTGTGTAGTTACAGAGAAAATAAAGACCAGCAAGCCTCAGGTAAAGGGAACAGGTGGGTGGGGCTCCTATGAGGTCTGGAAAATGGAAAGACTCAGTACTCCCATTCCTTTCTTTCATCCTGTTCAGGACACACCCATCAGCAGGAGGCTTCCCTGTATCTACAGGGAGGAGGTAGCACCCAACTTTCTCTCAGGGTGAGGTCTTGGTCCATTTTCAGTGAGTCTGCCTGAGCTCATATTGCAGTCTCCTCTAGGCTGGCCTGCTTCCATTGCCCTCTGCAGTGGGCCCAAGCCTTGGGCTTGGAGTCTCCTCAGTCAACACCATCTGGCTACAGTTTGCTAACACTTTTATTTTGGTGGCATTTATATTTGTAAGTTTGTCTTCTATTTTTGGAAGATGCCACTGTCTTCCTGTTTGGCAACACGGTTTCCTTTCAAATGAATATATTCAAACAAACAATTTATGTTATTTGGCAAAGAAAGGGTAAAGGGAGTGGGGATTGAAGCAGTTGGCCTGGGTTCAAATCCACCCATTGTCATTCCTCTGGGGCCTTTGAACAAGGTCCTGTCTCAGCTTCCTCCAAATCTCCACTTCATGGATAGAATGAGGCTATCTTTTGCAGGGCTATTGTGTTGAGTTACAGCTGATGTTTGTCAGGCCTGGGACATAGCAGTTTGTAGAGGACTTGCCTAATATTCTGAAGCCCTCTGTTCCATCCCCAGCACCACATAAACTGAGCGTAGGATGTATGCCTATCATTCAGGGGTAAGGGCAGGGAGATCAGAAGTTTAAGGTCATCCTTGGCTACATAGTAACAAGTTGGTGGCCAGCCTTTGGGTTTTCTGTTTCCAGATGAGTGTGGGGTAGACAGGCCTCAGCTCATAGTAGTGCCTGCTGTCCCCTGTGCAAAGACTTTCTTACTTGGGGAACAAGTCTACATCTGCTTTGCCCATGCAAGTCAAATACAAGACCAACCAAGGGAATGCCTCTTTGGATGTGGGGTCTCATGCACCCCAGGGACTCTCTAACTTAGACCCTCTACAGAGCTCATGATACTCATGAACAGTGAAACATGGCAACCTGGCTTAGGGTAGAAGGGGTGGTGGTGTTTGCCATGTGTAACTCTAGCACATGGAAGGTGGAGAGGCAGGAGGGTTGAGAATTTAAGGGTAGCCTGGGGTTAGCAAGAACCTTGTCTTGAAAAATAATGAACAAACAAAATAAATTAGGGGCTGCCAAGATGGCTGTCATAGTTAACGCAGCTGTCAACCTGACACAAACCTAGAGGCACCTGGGAAGAGGGACTAGCAATTGAACAGTTGCCTCCATCAGATTGGTCTGTAGGCATGTTGGTGGTGTATTTTCTTGGCCACCGCTGTGGACAGTGTCATCCCTGGGCAGGTGGGCCTGGGCTACATAAGGTAGCTGAGCAATCCAGTAAGCAGGATTCCTCCACAGCCTCTACATCAGCTCCTGCCCCCAGGTTCCCATCCCGAGCTCTTTCCTGTGACCCTCAGTGATGAACTTTTTCTGAAGTATCAGGAGAAACCAACTGTCTTTGGTCCTGGTGTTTATCACAGCAACATGCTAAGGGCACTTGCCACTAAGTGTGAGGTCCCAGACTTTATACCCAGGGTCCTTAGGGTTCTCTCTGGTTTCCATGTATGCTATCCACACACACAAGTGAATAAATAAATGAGTAAATGTAATAAAAAACATTGAACCAGCAAAATGACTCAGTAGGTGAAAGCACTTGCCACGGAGCCTGATAATCCCTAGAAGCAACATAAAGGAGAAAATCAACTCTACAAAGTTGTCCTCTTACCTCAATATGTATAAACACACATGGCTTTAAACATATGGGCAAGAAAGAATACAGTGCCCAATTGAGACTTCACAACTGTGCGTAAGTTCCCATTTGTTGTTAGAGGTACAAGCCAGGTGCCTTTTACTTTTGTTTTGTACAAAGAACACAATTCTGTAAAGTTTAAAGTCTAAAGTGATGCTGTAATATGCTGGGCCCCATGTCTGAGTGTTTCCATTTTTAAAACATTCCCTTCAACACATAGGCTGGGGCTCAGGCCCCTGGCTTACTTCCAGAGCCTCCCACGAGCCTTCTTGGATGTTCATCTGCTGTTTTCAGATGAGAAATGGAGGCAAAGGGAGAAGGTAGTTATGGGTCTTTTGGTCATTTTCAGGAACAATACATTCCCAGGAGTTCGAAAGACTTTGGGAGTGAATTGTATGAAGCCGTGTGTGTATGTGTATTAATTTGGGGAGGGTGCAGGGAGGAATCGGAGGAGAGGTTATTAGGGTGGAACCCAAGTGCCAGGCAAGAGTGAGATAATGGAATCCAACCCTTCTTTTTAATTTTTGAGTCAAGGTCTTACAAAGTGTCAAGGGCTGGCTTTGAATTCATTATGTGGCTCACCCAGGCTTTGAACTTGGATCCTCTACTTCAGACTTCTCAGTAGGTGGGGTTTTTAGGCTTGGCCATAATTGGAGGAATCTTTTCTTTTTCAAATATTTAATTTCATTTTATGTGTATTAGTGTGTCTGTGTGAGGGTGTCGGAACTGGAGTTGCACTTGGCTCCTCTAGAAGAGCACTTAACCTCTGAGCCATCTCTCCAGCCGGACTTGGTAGACTCTCAAGGCTTGTCCTGATGGTGGTTTTACCTCAGGGGAGAAACTCTAATTTCTCAGTTACAGCTACACAGCCTTTCCAGGAAGCAAGCACTGTGTAAGTATTGCTTTTAGGTCTCAGAACAAGGTCCCACCATGCCTTCCGTTTCCATCAGAGGAAACTGAGGCAAGAGACATTAACAACCAGCTCACTAAGTTACTAAGAGGAACAGAGAGGGTGCTAGGAAGGATGCGGGAGTCACCGGGTCCTAATCCTGCTTTCAAGAGAAGAAAGGATGACAGAGATGAGGAGAGGGGAGCGACATCTCCAGCAGAGACTTCCAGCTTCCTTGAACTTTGCGAGTGCAAGTGTCACAGGGCCGCGGCAGGGACTGGGGGTCCCTGGCTGCCTCTCGCGGTCCCGCCCCCTGACTGGATCGGCGGCTCCTGACATCACGGTCCGGGAGGCGGGCTCCGGAGAGGGCGGCGGGGAGGAGGCTTGTCGGCCAGGAGGGCGGAGGAGGCCGAGCCCCGAGCTTCAAAACAGCCGGCGCTTCACCCCGCGCGCAGCCCGCCACTGCGTCCAGACGCCCGCGACCGGTGAGTTGGGGGCGCACCCGGGAACATCAGTGATGTCGGGGTTCCCGGCTGACAGGGGAGCGGTTCTTCCTCTTTAGGTACCGGGACAGGCTCGGGGATCCGTGGGTGACAGGGAGGGGCCGGGGTGCGGTCTGTGCGGCAGCCCCGCTGCTCTTTCTCCTGACCCCTAGGGCTCAGGCCTCCCTTTTCGGGACCTCAGAGCCATCGTGACACCCCTGGATGGCATCTGTCGACTTTTGCGCCCAAAGGGGCGGGAAAAGTTTGAAGAAGAGTCAGGGCGGCTCCCCTCTCCGCCACCTTTGGCCCAATGCTCCGAAACTTCAGGGGAGCCAGCCCACTTATCGCCTGTGGTACTCAGTGTCTGATCCCCAAGTAATGCTAAACAGGCAGGATCTGCTGCGCCCAGACGCGGTTCGTGGGTCTCCGTGGGCCGCTTGCTCCTCCCGACCTGGGCTCCATGGCGCCCCACAGTGGCGACGGGCAGCTTCCTTGGGTTCTTAGCGGTGTCCCAGCCTGGGGGAAAGTGCCAAGGATGATCCCTTGCCTGCTCTTACCTACTATGGCAGATCTGAGGGCTTTAAAGGGAAGGAAACATGGCACCCATGATTCCACACAAAGAGGAGGTATAACTGAATGTGCGTGCCCGGCTTGGAGAAGGACGGAAGCGTTTAGCTTCAATTCAGGAGGATCCCACTCATGTGAGGCACCTTGAACCTGCAACTTCAGACAGACTTGTGGGTAGTGGTGCTTGCCAAGGGATGGGAATGGGTGGGATTTGGTAATATTTAACAGGTTCAGTTTTGGTTGAGAACGATGGAAAGTTTTGAGTCTAAGTAGTTGTGAGGGTTACTCCACATTGCTGGTTTATTTCAGGCCATGGGCTTGTACAATTACAAATGGTTTCAATCATAAATATTACGTGTATTTTCCCACAATGAGAGGTACAAAAGATACCTCTAAGCCACCTCTGCTTGGACATCCTGAATCAGAGAGAAACTCCAAAACCCAGCCATGGAGACTGCTCATCTCTTCCTGGAATATCACTTTCAAATAAGGATAGAGGTTCCATTGGATGGTTCCATCGGATGGATCAATCCAGGTTACAGGGGAGACCCAAGGGAAGAAGATTTAGAAGCCCATGGGGGTATGCTTAGGGCTCCATGTGCCTCCTCCTCCCAGAGAGCCTTATCCCTTGCCTGTCGCCAGCACAGCACACCCTCCTGTTGAAGGTGGAGAAATCTGGCCCAGAGACCTGGCAGAGTTAGGTACTCAAGGCTGTGGAGCCAGAACGTCTCCCTGTCTGTCTCCATTGTGTTCTCCCTCATTCCCACCAGGAGATGCCTCAGTGGAGTGCAGGAAATGGAAAGAGACCCTTTAAGAGATGTGGGTCCCCTCTAAGGTACGTGGGCAGGTAGATGCCCAGCCCACAACCTAGGTTGGCACTAGGGGTGGCCAGAAGGTGCTGAACCTGTTTTTCCTCCAAGGGCTTTTGGATCCTTACCACCGCCACCCCCACAGGAACTGAGGAGTCAGACTGAGAGGCAGAAAGAGCAGGTCGCACAGCCTGGAGCCTTCTCTGTCCCTCAAATGCAGAAGCTGAGGCTGGCCTGCAATCTGGGCAAGGGTGTTTGTGTGGGAAGCTGGGGAGAGAGCCAGAAGAGAGGGGGAGGGGAGGGCAAGGCTGGGCAAAACAGTCCTAGGAAGACTTAGCATGGGGTGCTGCCCCACCTACAGAGGAGGCCCCCTCTCAAGCTGGCACTGCCCCAAGGGAGAATTTAATTGTAAATACAGATTGTATCTATTTAGTAGCCCCCAAACACACACTCAGACACACTTAAATACTCACACACCCTCCTCACGGGCATCTAGATTTTTTTTTTTGTCCCTTTGACTTACCTTCACAGTAGGCATTAAGCCCAGGGAGGGCCAGTTTGTTAGTGTTTTTGTTCATGTGCAGATACAGACTGACACTCAGCTGCCCTCTCCTCTTCCCAGAGCTTCCCTGCTCATCCTTGAGATGCAGCTGAGGTAGTTCTTTGTCATAGTGAATGAACTCTAAGGGACACTACAGGGAAGGAAGTCTGTCGAGACAGAACTATATAAATACCTTTCCAGGCCACATGGAATGGCTTGGGACTTTGAGGCTGACCAGGAGACTGGAGTCCAGCCACCTCCTGGGGGAGGAGCATATTGCAATATGTGGCTGATGCCCAGGTCTGATGTCAGGTGGGGGCTCTGACATAGGTTCCAAAAGCTAAGGTGGGGCAGGTGCTTAGGGCAAAGGTGGGCTTAGGTTCCTGTTCTGGGACTGGGGAGCAAAACTCTCTTAGAAGGGTGAGTCAAAAAGTTGCCAGAGAGAGGCCTGTGCAGGAACATATGCTCCTATGTGCTAGAAAGAACAGGAGTCTACACTTGGAAAGGAATGGGGTACTGTGAGAGGGTAGGAAGGGAGGTACCCCTTCCTCACTCCATCATTAGTGTGATCTTGTCTTGCTCCCAGCAGGGGCTGTCCTATGAACATGGTTTAGGTGGGATGTAGTCAGGCCTTTGGCAGAGTCAGGGGTTGAACACATCTGACTCTTGTTAGGTCCACAGGAGGACACTAAAAATATCAGTGGCAGGGCTGCCACCAAGCCTGAGTGATTGCTAGTAACCTGACACCCCAAGTGAGGCTGGTGGCTGTGACAGATGGTGGTGACACATAGTACCTCTGGATTCTAGAGTCACTTGGACTCCTCCTGGCAAGCCAACCTGAGGGCAAATGCCTGCCAAGGGGGACGGTTGTGTGTGTGTGCTCTGCATTCACTGGCATCGGCAAAACCTGGAGAATTTCGGTACCTAAAGAAGCTAAAGATCTCTATTTTTGAGAGCTAAGCACAAATCCAGAGAGGTGGTATGAGTCTTCCAAGGTTGCACAGCAAGCTGGTGGCAGACCTAGATCCCAGGAAGAGGTCAGGAGGCTGAGGGACTCTTGTAGCGTATGTCTTTCATCTAGTGTTCTGGTGGAGGAATGTTGGGCAAAACACTCTCCAGTGGGTCACTTTCCCTAGAGCATCTGGGGACTTTCAGACACAGCTGCTGGGCTCTAGAGAAGCTGCCTCATCTTGGGGCAGGATGGAGGGAGGAGGGAGGCTGGAAAGAAACCAAGTAGATAGTCTTTCCTCTTCCCATCTGAGGTACTGTCGGCTCCATTGCTTAAGTACCTGTCAGATGGCGAACTGAGCTCTGTCTCTGGCCCTCACCTTCCTTGAGCGGCCAGGCTTCTGTCCCATGGGGGCTTAGGGCTCTAAAGGGAAGAGAGTACTGCACCATTCTTTTTTGTTTGTTTGTTCTTTTGAGACTGGGTTTCTCTGGAGCCCTGGCTATCTTGGACCTCCCATCTGTAGGCCAGGCTGTCCTCAAGCTGGGAGATCCCCCTGCCTCTGCTTCCCAAGTGCTGGGATTAAAGGCATGGGCCACCACGGCCCAGGTTGGCTGTTCTATTCTTGCCAGACTTGACTGCACCAGTGTTTAGAAGCTTCTTAGAACTTAGGGTTCAGAGCTGAGTGAGGAGTCACCAGTGCCCTCAGAAATCTGGGGCGCAAAGCAGCTGTTATGAGATAGGATGCAGGTGTACAACTTGGCTCCTCACTACAAATTGCTCCTAGACTAAGATAGTTTTCCTCACAGTAGGAGTCCCTCATGTAAGAGTGTGTGTGTGTGTGTGTGTGTGTGTGTGTGTGTGTGTGTGTGTCCTTCCACCTGTGACTCCTGGAGATTGAACTCAGGTCATCGGGCTTGGCTTGCTTGCAAGTGCCTTTACCCATTGAGCTATCTTGCTGGCCCTCAATTTTCCCTTCTGATGTGCCCACCTTGTGACCTTGTCTTTCTTGAAAGTATTTTTAAACATTTCACTGAGTGAATATGGCATGACATAATCTCATTAATTTGAATTAATGAACTCTCCAAATGTTATGCATTTCTGTTTGCACCCAGGCTGATTCTAAAATATATCATCTATGGCCTGACATAAAAAGAAGAAAGATTAATTATATATTTTCCTTGGCTGGCATTTGAAAAGAATTGCAAATAGTACATGAACCTATAGTTTCACAGATACTGCTATGTGGGGTCAAATAAAAGTTAACATTTTGAAAACTCTACATCTTTTCTTAATTAATCAATAAGCACAGGTGATCTAAGTTGGGTGAAAATCTTAGTGCCAGAGTAACTGCCTTTTAGGAAGGTGTTTTTCTAAGGGGGGGCCTGGAATGGATACATTTCACACATATTTAATATAATATTTGCATTAATTTTCTGAGAATTTGATACATGCATATAGTAATAATAACAATTGCTGTGTGTATGAAGGCACATGCATGTCACCATGTGCATGTGACACAGGAAAACTTTTGGGAGTTGGTTCTTTCTGCCATGGACAGGTTCTGGGGCTCACACTCAGGAAAGTCATATTTGTGCCACAAGCACTTTTAGCCCGTAAGGAGCCATCTCACCAGCCCCATTTCACACTTCAAGTTCTCATGTTGCTTTTTTTATATTTTTAAAGACACCTTTGATGGGAGAACTAATCCACGCACAGCCATGAGCTACCACACACTTCTCTTCAGCAAAGCCCCATATTCTGCTTCAGTCAGGGATGGCTGACTTAGTGCCCAGCAATTGCCTCATCTTCACTGAGGGCCCCATGACCTTACTGGTTGTTCTGAGGGTCAGAGGAGGTGATCTGCAGATGTCTGAAAAGTAGCTTGAGATGTGTGTGGTTTGCTTGATGAGGTGTGAGGCTGAGGGAGACAGGCTTTTCCACTTTAGTCTTAGCGAATGTTATTAAGCAGCTGTCTGGTATGAGCAACTTGGAGAGGAATTCCCCATCTTCCCGGGTGATTATCATCTAGTTAGAGGTGCTGAGTCCAAGTGTACCTGCTCCAGGGCTGCTGGATTCTACTTCCGAGAAGTGGTGGGCAGGGGTTCCCTTAAGCCTATAGGCTGGACATGGGCTTGGG